TGAAGATAGATCGCAGTGTGGAGGCTGATGCTCCCCAAGTGATGCCGCATGTTTTCTGGAGGATGTTACTACGCGTTTTGATCTCAGCCCCTGTTTGCGACAGATGTTCTTCAAATCTCAACGTTCTGTCTAGTATAACCCATAGGTAGCTAGGTTGTTTATTGTGTTTGAGTAGCGTGCCTCCAAAGTAAGCTAATTTGTTGTTTAGGTGGAAACTGGAGACCTCTGTCTAGTGTCCAGTTGTCAGCGTATCCGAACTTTCTTGAACTCGCTTCAGGCATGTCATCATTATATGAACTGAACAGTAGGGGGGCAAGTACTGATCCCTGTGATAATCCGTTGTTGGTCTTCTTCTGAGCACTCCTGTTATCACCCAGGAGTACTTGGAAGATTCTATTGTAAGGCATAGCGTACATCAGGTCTACTGTCTTCTTGCAGGGTGTTACACGCATGAGCTTGGAAACGATGACTGATTTTCAAACAGTATCGTACGCAGCTGTCAGATCTATAAAGACTGCTACTGTCTTCAGGTAACTCTGGGAACCTGCTTCTATGAATGAGGTTAGTGATAGGACTTGATCCGTGCAGTTTCTGTTAGGGCAGAAATTTTATCCAATATCTTCTGACTGATTCTGTTGTACAGGAGCCTTTCTAGAAGTGTGTGAATCATGCTGAGTAGAGCGATCAGAAGGTAACTTTATGGCATATCGTTCGGCTTGTCTGGTTTCAGTATGACTATAACTTTTGATCATTCAAGAAGATGAAGGATTCTGCATATTTGGAGAATGTCGGTAAAGAAACGAGCCCATCTTTGTTTTGTGTATTGACCACAGTGTAAAATGACTCTGGGTGGATGCCATCAAAACCTAGGGCTTTACCTGCTTTCCTATCTGAAATAGCTGGTGTGAACGATAGTTAACGGAATGGAATACTCAGATTCTTTTGTACATGTTCGATTGAGGTTTCTGAGTTCTCGTTTCTCGTGTGGGCTCTGTCTTTTGGGGCTCTAGAAATATTCACAATGTGAGATTCGATCTAATTTGGTTGTATGGGGTTGCAGTTACGTTGGAGGTGAGTGCTGCCACCCAACTTGCGAAGTAGAGACCACGCTTTCCTGCGTGGTCTCTACTGTACTCCCTGTACAGGTTTTCGCTAATCTCTGACCACCCAGGAATGTATTCCCTACGGCATCCCCTAGGAATCGACTTTTTCACTGAGCTTTACACTGCATCTATAAACCTCACGTAATTTTTCCTTTCTGGAGGGACCCAGCGTCAACATTCATCTAGACTTTCAGAGACGACGTCCCAATTTGCTCTAGGGCGAGTTATTGATCTCACTGTGGAGATTGTAATACCAATTTCAATAATGACTGTGTGGTGTCTGATAGAATCCTTCGTGATGCTGCTAGTGGAAGGTTATTTTGGTCTCTGGTTACGAAACAGAAGTCCGAGTTGTAATACTGTCTCCAAGTGGCCGAGCGGAAAGTGTCTCGATCCTTTGCATCGAAAATAAGATGGGTATTATGCACTTGTGCCCAGTTTACCAAGGCATCGCCATTTCCATCATCTGATCTACATTTCCACTGCTCGTGATGACTGTAAAAGTCAACAACATATGCAGATGGATGAATGTTAACAACGTGTGTAAGCCATGTTGTGGCAGGAGTCTTATAGATATTGATGACTGAGATTTTCCCAATTCTGACAGTTACCTCCTGTATATTGTTACCACTGGAGATGGACATGAGAGAAGAATCCTCTATGTTGTTGCGTACATACGTTGCCACTCCATAAAACCTGTCATATGTAGCACCTAGCAGTTCATATTTGGGTATTTTTTCTCCAGAGCTGAGTACCCCTTCATTTTCTGCATGCGTTTCCTATACAGCAACAAGGTCAATATCGTTCTCGAGTAAAATCTTTTGCAGCATATTGCATACATACCTGTACTGGTACGTGACACTAATACAATGATTCACACGTGACACCAATTTCACCAAAATCGCATGTGAGTGGTGAGGCATACGTTCTCTTTTATGAAATGGAGGGAACGATTTCGCATCTTTGAGATACCTGAAAGTATATTTCTTTATAACAGTTTGGAATTCCGCCGTCTAAGAAAGATGTTAACAGATTCGAAATCTCCTGCTTGATTCGGCCGTTACTTGATGAAGCTTCATAATAATTTCATACTACACCTTATGATTTGACCTCCACAAACTTTATTCGAGAAATATATCACGACATGTTTCGCTAACACAGTAGCTTCTCCAACAGTGATTTGAATAGTATTCAAATCAGTGAAGAAGCTATTGATATATTTCTCAAGTGAAGTTTGTGGGGATCAAATCGTGAGGTGTAGTTTATCAGATCCGAAATCTGTGAAAAATAAATGGAATCCCGAAAATTAATGAGATTTTGAAATTTGAAAATACCTGAATTCCAGACCAAAATATTTGGATCAGCTAGTTCCAAATGAAAAAAAATGTGATGAAAATAATAGTGAGTATAAAAAAATCAGTTGAGAACTATAGCACGTTTACATGATGGGGCATGATGAGGTAGGGAGGTAAGACGGGGTCACGCAACGTGAACGTTTCTGGGAGGTGGCGCTTTAGTCAATCAGAAGCCGCTTTCAGTGGTATAAATCAACAACAAAATGGCTGTTGTTCGAGCAAAATTCTGTTTTGCCTCTGTGGCATTAGACACAAAAACCACCATTTTGAGAGTCCGCACTATTCAGTTGGAAGGAGAGGACACGTCGTACGAATTTCCAGAACATCTTTCAACAAAGGAGAATCATCCAAAACTTTTCGAAACAACTATAGTAAAGAATATAGCCAAGAGTTTGAAAACACGTGGAAAGTTTCGAAAGGTGTGGATTTCACTAGGAAACGAACTTAAAAGCCAATATTTGGATGAGGAGGGTAACGTATGTTATGATGGTATTTATTTGGATGAGTGTCGGGCATATGTTGACNTAGATATTAACTCGGCTTTCTGGTCAATCTCGATCAGAGAAAAAGATAGATATAAAACCGCGTTTATTACTCAAAACGGGCATTGGCAATGGAAGTGCTTACCTTTTGGCTTAAAATCATCTCCAGCAATATTTCAGAGAATTCTGAGTGACGTATTAGCAAAAAATAATCTTGAGACTTTCGCGATAAATTACATCGATGATATTTTGATTTTTTCAAAAAATGATTCAAATCATTTACGCCACATCAACGAAGTTCTCATAGCCTTAGAAAAAGCGGGGTTCAAGTTAAACAAGAAAAAATGCACATTTGCAAAAAATTCAGTTATCACAAGCATCAACCGCAGTACTCATTATTTGTAACCTCATCCATTAAGACAAGGGAATTGACTTATAAATCACTGGGACCTATACAGCCTGTTTTTTCGCAGGAAGAAGAAGAAGAACTAGCAAAGTATGATAAGCACATGGAAGAACGACTTTTTGGCTTAACTACTCTCGATTTAAGGCGGCTGGTTCACGAGAGTAAAATCTATAACTGGCATTTTTGTTGTTTCAAAAACTAAAAGCAAGATAATAGCTTTAGAAGGTAGAAAACAAGTCGGCTCATTATCTTCTGCGAAGAGAGGTCATACTGTAACTGTAGATATTCGTTTCAATGTCGCTGGGACATACATGCCTCCACTCATTATTTTTCCGAGACAGCGTATGAAAGCCGGGTGGCTAGACCCTGCTCCCCCTGAAGCAACATCAGCATGTAATTCAATAGTCTGGACGAGAGCGGAAATATTCACCTTTTGGTTCAAACAGTTCATCCAATATTCAGGAGCCTCTCCTAGCAATAAAGTGTTGCTGCTTTTAGACGGACATGTGAGTCATACTCAAAATCTAGATGTTATAGATCTTGCACGAAAACATGGAGTTATAATAATTTGCTTCCCTCCTCATTGCACACATAAGTTGCAACCTGCTGATGTAGCTTTCATGAGGCCTTTAAGTACTTACTATGACCATGCCGTTCCAAATTGGTTGAGATCGCATCCAGGACGTGTGATCACCATGTTCCAAATATTTGGGCAAGCTTACATGCAAGCAGCTACAATGTCCACAGCGGTTAACAGCTTCAGGAAGTGTGGTATAAGGCTATACAACCAAGACAATTTTAGTAATGTTGATTCCATAGCTGCTGAAACTACAAACATACCATTGGTGAAGACAATGCAGATACGTCAAGGTCTATCAAACTACCGTTAATAGAGAGCAACGCACACATAGATCCTCATTCTGGACGTGAAGAATCAACCACGTCAAGCATTTTCAACGCTCAGTCGATGGAGACAGAGCCTCATACCGGACTTGAGTCATCATCTTTATTACATTCTGGTAATCTTCCATCAACTGGGTCAGTACCTCCTCCAGGCCTGAAATACCAACCCCGTCAAGCATTTTCAACGTTCAGTTCATGGAGATAGAGCCTCATACTACACCTGAAATACTATCCTCGTCAAGTTTTGCAAATCTTCCCTCTTCAGAGTCAGCAACTCGTACATCTGAAACTCAATTGATTCAAAAAGATCTTCTTGCACCTGTTCTTTCCGGAAATCAACGTATGCCAGTTCAACTCTCCAAAGCTGATATCCATAACAAGATTGTTCACAAGTGCAAGCAGGAAGTTCCATGCAAATTCGTTCTCCCATATGAGCCGTCTGCCGTGTTTTAACTTCTAGTTTCGAAAATGCTTCACGTAAAGATATATTGCCAATACCGGCTAAAAGAAGTAANTATTAGTTCTTCAATATTTTTTACACCTAATCTCATAATGTAACCTGTAAAGCATAATTCCGAACTTCACTCTCGTTTTTCGAAGTCAGGATGTTTTGTTTGTATGGCGCATTTTTTCTATATTCCGAAATTCCCAACCTGTTGAGACTGTAGTATTACACCTAATATTGGATTCAAGGTATTAGTCTCAAAACGCATATTTCCAGAATCAGAATTGTCTGACTAGCTTTTTCTTTATCTGATTTTTCATTTACTTTCTAGGGTGTAACCATAGCTGATATTAACGAAACCGCTGGAAGGAAAGCTGTGGAAGAAATAGAAAACGAATTCGGAACGAAAAAAGCCCTATTTATCAGAACAGATGTAACCAAAAAAGAAGAATTCGAAAGTAAGCACATTGAATTTTCAGCACTAATCGATGTAGATATAAAAATGAAATGTGAAATGCATGTTTATTATCTCAGTCGTTATGATGACCTATGATCAACCATGAGTTTGGATTGAATACCTCGACTGAAGGTTGCCAATGTTGATATTCAAGGTTCATAACATTTGAAAGTAATTGATATATGCCAATATAGAGTAAAACCTAATAATGACATTGATATTTTTTGACAATGTGCGAAATATCCTTCACATACTTAACAACCACTTTTCTCCCTACGAATAATAACCTTCAGTAGTATTCAAGAGACTTGTGCTAGCAAAGAATTATCAAAGTAGTATCTTTATGGTGATCACTACTAATGTCTCATGTCAGACGCAGCCATTGTTTCTACTGAGCAAACCACATATCTCACTTGCTTAGCTAGTACCTCAAAGTCAGCCATCGAATCTCTGTTCCACTTACTGACCAAATAGTTACCAACCAACCTATCCATACTGACATGAGTCTTGATACGAGTGTGAGATCAGTAATACTTTCGAATCCGGAGTAGGGTATATATGTTCGAGGAAATGTTTGAACCAGTCAGTGAATATGTCCATTCATATCCATCCTGATGGATATGCAACGCCAACAGCACCTGAGGGACTGCCTCTCATCAGCTGCCTCTTGCGTGGAAATATGATATAGGGAGGCACAAAATGACTAGTGGCGTAATCAATGAACCCCTTTCCGCTGAAGTAAGGGAAGCTATCCGACGTTTTCCTTCATGCCCAATTTCTTAAGCCATCTTGCTCTATACTACGGTAAGCCCAGATTGATTCACGTTGTATATGCGACTTGGACCATAGTTTTCTTGAAAATAGACGTCTTCGAGGAGATCGAAGAATGGGACACCTTTTTTTTGCTCTAGCAAAAGACGTGCCAGTTGGTCTTCTAAGTGATAGCTTGTCCTTATAGCGTTTTAGAAATACTTTAGGCAATTTTTACCAGTCACGCCTGCTGCACAAAATGGATTTTTAAACTGATTACGCCTTGCTCCAGTCTCTAAAAGCTATAAAAACAATAGGTACAAAAATATGTTAGTTTTACATACCTGCGGAAGGGGTAAAACAAAACACTGTCACAACGACGAAGGGGTTCGCTCTACTGACATGTAACTACTTGTACGCGTGAAATGAAGTAGAAAGAGGCAGAATATCGCTGATTGATGATTGTGTGAGTTTGCATTTGAGAGATGGTGGATTCTATATTAGGGATACTATTCCATATCTGGTCTACTTGTGCCTGGTCAGGTGTATTTCTCAGTACTCTTCATTTTTCTCATTGATTCATTTCCAGAGAGATCATAGCTGGTTCATGGCCAGTATATGGCGCCAATGCAAAGTTTGTGTTGAAATAGTACTTGGATGTCAAGTGGTTCTTAAACATGTTTTATGTTCGTTTCTCCAAATAATCTGAAATTACAATTTTGTCCCATTCCTCACAACTTGTTGAACTTTCCAGTCAAAACTGACCCACTATTACCTCCCGCGTTATCACAAAATTCTAGATTCGAAGGTGACTCCAATGCTGCTGCCGGTGTGACTTTCACTACTTTCGTCATTTTTTGACCATTTTATTTCAAATTAATTTATTGTTAATTAAATAACTTTTACAGATGCCTTCAAAAAAACGGTGGAACACTTCGAATATATCGATATTCTTTTGAATAACGCTGGTATTATGAACGATGCTATCTGGGAAAAAGAAATAGACATCAATCTTGTGAGTATATGGAAATTTTAAAATTAATTTGATTTATCGAGAATTCAAAAATCATATATCCTAGAATGTTATAAACCAAACCTTCCTCAGCTTCTGAAAACCAGTTGATGATTATGAAATTTCTTTATTTCAATCAAACCTCAGGCTGTTGTCCTTCAGAAATGATACAATAAAAATATATTATTTCATCAGTTTCGTGAATTAATAATCTCCCACTGGTGATTTTTAAATTATTGTAAGACGTAATTGAAAAAATGCAATAACTTCTACTACGAAGAAGCCATCTGGGATAATCGACAGAAGATTCACGACACAAAAAATCATACGTTATACGATAAGACCAAAACTTTCTTCAATAAATATCTTATCAGAAGTTAATACACTACTGCTAATATTTTTTCAAATTTGTTATATATGTCCAACAAAAATATTGGAAGAGAAATGTTAATACAAATTCACAAATTAACTGATTTTTTTTCATTATAGATTTAACTAGCGACCTGACCAATTCCTTGACTTCTTTAATATGATTTGATTTATAGCCAGTCTTCAAGTATGCCCACTGACTATATGTGGAAAGTTTTCTTTCCCTATACAAGGAATTCGGCAAATTTCGAATATGCGGTTGGTTACCTCGTTCACAGGCAGATGGGGTGATGACAAATGGTTCTCGAAGGCTTATGAACCCTAATAAAATAAATCAATTATGCATTCATGCCACCCACCAAAAATAAGACGTATAATGTTATATATTAGTCATATTGTCACCCAGTCAGCTATCTCTTTTGAATGTCTCTTTCTAATGTACTCTTTCTAATGTTTCATAACTTCGTATTTTTGTTAAAATAATTGACACTTGGCAACGCCGCTGTAGATACGATCAATTTTTGTATTTTCTGCAAATATAAAGAGGTATTGGGACTGATTAGACTCGATAAGTATAATATACCCCTAAGTCGAACAGTCTATGAGCAAACCAGTATCATCTTCAATAGAATGAAACAAGTCCATTATCGGAAATCATCGACTTTATGTTGATGATAGACACTACCTTGCACTGACGAATGGCCAAACAGCCCGAAACTAATCGGCAAATGTGTTCTAATAATTGAAAATTTCCGGCAGTTGTATCGCCAAAATCATATGCAGGAATCTGCACTAAGACCTGTTGGATATAATCCAACGTCCTTCGTGGTATTAGCCAGGGGAGTAGTTGTTTCCTAAAAAGTGTCAGTCCATCAACCTACAGTTTAGAGAGTTGAGACTGGCCTGAACGAATTGTTTT